ATTTTTAAAAATATATTAAATTAATATGAAAACATTATTTATAAAAAAAATTAAAAATTAATTCAAGAACTCTTAAATTATAAATTAAAAAAAAATGGGGGGAGGGTTAATGTCAGAAAATGGAATTGATCAGGCCAAGTCCTTTTGGGCAAAAACCCAAAGATTGCTTTTTTTACTTTTTTGAGTGTGTGAAATTTCACTTTTTATTTTATAATATGTGATTTTATATTTTTATAATATTTTAATTTATAATTTTATATCTTTATAATATTTAAATTTATGATGTCATACCCTCTTAAAATTATAAGATAAAAAGTGAAATTTCACATATTCAAATACTAAAAAATTATAAAATCATATTATAAAGGTATAAAATCATGTATTATAAAATAAGAGATAAAATTTTACACATTCAAAAAATTAAAGGACAATTTGTGGGGTTTTGCCGGTCCTTTTGTGGGCTCACAACATGTAGATGGGTCAAAATGCATGTCCATTTGTCCATAATTCCACGTGCCAATGCATGGGAGAAAGTAAAAAGTATGAACTTTGGACTATTTTGCCGAGAACTTGGACTTTACCAACCTTTTGATATCTTTCCCGTATATTATTTTTCAGGCCCAACTTTTGTTTTCCTCTGTAACCTCCATGCATGGGTCCACTCTACTGTAATATATACTTACTGAGTCTGCTTGATATTCCATCTACACCGTCCGTTCAAGATCATAAAAAAGATATGGCAGCATCTAACTGCAGATCACAAGACGCCTGTGTTAAATTGTCGTTTGTGATCAGTGCCGTTCGATTTTATCAGATCAAAAAAATCTGAATACGGCAAATTTGTAAGTACGTATATGCTCTGGGCAAGTGGATATATAGAAACTCTAGCCTAATACTTTAGGCTGTCGATTTGTCCTGGTGGGGGTCCAATTCTCGTTTCAACCGTACGATTGATTGATTAAGCTTTCAAGTAAACCTTTTTACGCCACGTAGACATGGACCCACACTCCTACTCTTTTTTTTTAATGAACTGACCGCTCTAATTTTAAGTAAAAAACTTTTTTGTGTATGAAATTATTCAGTTTTTTTTTATAGGGATAATAATTAATAAGTTAAATTAATTATTGGTTAAAAATTAAAAATTCAATTCTTAAATGAAAGTGAGTGTCACCTCCTTTTTATTGAAGAGCGCAACCCAACTAGTGGGTCATATAGTGAAGTTTTGTATGAAATTATCTAATTAAAATTATTTAATAAGTGGTGAATTTGAGTCGCATGGGGGAAGTTAGTATGGGATTATCAGTTAAAATTACTTGATAAGTGGTGAATTTTTTTGCATTAAGGCCCCCACATTTTTTTTTGAGAAAAGGCCCCTCACATCTTATATATTAAA